TTTATTCTCAGTCCTTTTAATGCAAGTCTTCTCTATGACTGCCTGCCTGCCTTTATTTTCCATTTGCATCCTGCAAAGGATTGTCTATACAAGCCTAATGGTTTACAGTAACCCTTTAAAAATTAGATATTTGTGGTGAACCCATTTAAGATAATTTTTACAAAAGTCTATTATTCCACCCAAGCCTCTTCTGAACAGAAAGCCAAGTGCACTAAATGTATCAGCATTATGATAGCCCAAACCCATTTGCTGTGGTATTGAGGACTGACACACAAATGACCCTAGGTCTCAGTACATGGAAATTACTTGTAATTATTCTATATTTTCCAGCCCTCAACCTGTTCATCTCGTAACTCTTTGGTAGAGAGTCCTTTGAGCTGGCTCTAGCATTATCAGGGGAAATTCTGAGATCTCTGTTGGAGCTCTCCAATTTGCAGCTGAGTAGCTGACCCATTTTTGTTTAGGGCAACGTGTCTGGTTATAAAATCATCATTCTTTATAAGCCTCTTGCAGGGGGACAAATGGATGTATTTTTTCACTCTATGCGATATTTTTAAACTGATAGACAGACATTATTTGCTCAGCATTTTTTTCATTTCGATTTCATGAAAAATGAAGGTCTTTGGCCTAGAATTTCAATTTGATTTATATTCACAATTTCTCTCAAGATGTTTCAGCCTAGCTGGTATCAAAACATGAACATCAGCTTTAATCATTACCATGTGATTTCATAGTGTGAGAGGATGTTGGTTCTCCTCATAATTTTTTAATTTATCATAAACTGAATATCAAATTCACTAACTTTCATCCAAAAATCAATTACTTTAAAAACCTGTAGGAAAAGAGACCTTGAAAGAATATCCTACCTTAATTTTTGTCACTCTGTCCAATCTTGGAGCTGTCTCTTGTTAGTTGGAATCATTACTCTATCTTAAAAGCACCAGCTTTGTGCAGTAAAATGGCACCATACTGTCAATCTATCTGCTAGGTAGGAGTCCTCTGAATTTTTGCTCCATGTTCTACTGATTTTTTTGTGTTTATTAACACTAGCAACTCAATAGAGCTGTGAAAGTATGAATATTTCTCTATTCCAAGTCATCAGAAATAATGCTTTTTCTATTCTGAGGCCAGGATCTTTAAGAGTGGGCAGAATGTAAATCAGAAATGAAAAGGATTTGATTCCCACTTGCCAAGGGGAGGTTCCCATCTGTTCTTACTGAAGTGTATGGGGATTTTTGCGATTGACACTCTTGAAAAAAGGGTCAGACCTTAATTCGAGGGAGGAGAGAGCATTTAGCTCTTTTGTGTTGTTATCTATCTAAAATAAAAATGCTTCAGCTAAATAGGCTTGTGACCATCTGAAGAATCTGCTTAGTAAAAAATATTCTCAGTTTTGTAAAGGTGTACACCCCTAGAAATCAGGTGGTCTTCACCACCACACAAGCAAATCTACATAGGTTAACGAGGTGTATCAGTACCTCTTTTACCCCATGGAAGCCATATCTAACCCATCAAGGTCTTTTCCATTGCTAAGAATATTCAAAAGTTTTACAGGTCATCAAGGTTGTGCCTGTTCCTACCACCAGCCTGAGGAATCTCCTGACAAAGAGCCAACCAAACATAACTTCACCTTCATCTTTTGCCTTGAATCTACGTAACTAACTTGATACAGACAATGCATTCTGGACCGTATTTTTTCTAGTAGTTTCTCTAGTCCAGTCAGTCTGAAGAATCACATACTTATGCTGAAATGTTTCTTTTGTTACCTTCAGGACACAACTGGCACTGATTCCAGCTCAGAGTGGGGTGGGCTGCACAGTAGACTAATTTTACAGATTTTTACAGCTCCTGAGTACAAAATTGTTACCCATTGCCCTCCAGCTTGCTCCCATAGCAAAGTAATTGCAGTATTTATTTTCAACGTGCAGCTTGTTACTTTCCCGTTCATGTCAATCTAGTCCCTCTTACTCTCTTCTCTTTTTGCCTTTGCAGTGGGTAACATATTTAGTGTTAAGGCTGCGTTTAGCATCAGATTCTGGTTGCTCAGGGAAATGAGCATTAGGCTCAATGTATAAAACAAAACCATAAAGTAGTCTTAACAAATTAGTTTATGAACAATGGAAATTAAGACATATTGAAAGAGGAAGTTAAGAAAAAAAAAGGAAACCCTTTAAAGCAATTATGAAGCATAAACCATATCCATACCACCCAACTCAGTGTTAGGTAAGAGCTCACAAAGGAACTTTTCTAGTCCATAGGTAAATGTGCATGCACAGGGTTCTCTATTCTACCTAGTCCCAACAACCTGTTTCAGAAGTATCTGTAGCTGTCTTACTGAAATTAAGCATCTGGTGTGGGAAATCATCAGCTGGTGTTAGAGAAGCCATGGTCTTCACTCACTAACCAGAACTCCAGAGGACATCTCTTGTGATTGTCATACACACCTCTGGTTTCAGAGCCTCTGCCGGTCAGAACACACTGAAATGTTCACTTGTGTACAAATATAGCACACATGTACATTTTTCAGCTGGCCTTTCTTAAGATTATGTCCCATCAAATTGCTCAGCATTTTGAAAGAACTTGAAGTTCTGGTTCTCAGTAAAAACATCAGGTGTGTCATGCAATGTAACTTGCAGCTCAGCTACTGGCAGAGAACGTAAAGCTGCCTGAAAGCTATCTGTATCAATATAGGAAGATTTGTGGAGTCACTGCTTTCATATCACGCTAATTACTGCCTTGACTTTTTAAAGAGCAAATAGTTTTCTCTTGCTTTGCACACTACTTTCTGAGGTAAGATATTGAAATTCAATGGAGTTATGCCAATTGAACCAGCTAAGGATGCTGCCTTCTATTTACTCTTGCACCTCCTGGAGCATGTGTGATTCAAATTCCATTGGGACTGCTCTTTTATCTTTGCAGTGAAAAATGTCCCTATTTTTCCTTCCACCTTTCACAGAGCAACATAAGCACTGTCTGCAAAAATGTCTTTTCAAAAGTAGATTGCAACTATCCGCTTGAAAAACTTGGATTTATTTCAGCTACAGTTCAACATCCTTAATTATATTTTCTAGTAATGTCCATAGGAGCTCATTCGCAAAGAAGTAAGCTAATATTGCAAACTTTCTTGTAAGATCTGGAATTTCTTGCATATGCCTGTAAAAATGAGCCAACTAGCTAACAACTTTTGAAGCAATAGCTATGGGGCAAAAGCTATAGTATGTTAAATCACACAATAAGAAGAGCGAATTGTCACAGTGAACAGTCCCAGACACATACAGCCTGTAGATTGCTCAGAAAAAGCTGTGCATCAGAAAAAGAGCATAACTACACAAATATATTTGTAATCTATTAAAGATGTGAGGAATTCTATCTGTAAAGGACTTTTGCTGTAATACAAAGGCAGCTGAGTAGAGACACTGAGTGGAATAGATCCGTGTTAAACACCGTATCTTCAAGTGGTTGCTGAGCACTACATGGTACCAAGAATAAAAATATCCTAAATAGAATGGAAAATTTTAAATCTCTATCAATCAGAGACAAAACTCTACGGAAACAAGGAAGACAACAGAAGGAAATTCAGTAGGCACTTCACTCTGTGTTTGTAAGCAAACAGTGCCAGTAGAAATGAAGGCATTCATAAGATAGCTTTGTTTCTGACAGCGGCTGGTTCTGAAAATCTTATTGCCGTTAATAGTTTTCTGTTAACTAGAGCAGAGGCTGACTGTGAGGTGGTAGTACAGAAATGTGAGGAGCCCTGAATTCCATGTAAAAATTAAATGTGTAAGATTGGCTCAGAGTAAGCAGAGGCTTGCAGTTTTGAGGGCTAGCTAAGAGGAGACTGGGTCCTAATGGGAGGTGGGAAAAATATTCAGAGAAACTACTGGAAAATCAAGAATGGAATGAAAAAAAATTCTTATAAGGTGCTGGTTAATGCATGCTAGTGAGGAAGGAAGTCACTTGGCACAGTCTGCAGAATAAACTCCACAGCTATTTAACACTGCCAGCCTGGTTTGGTTTGTTAAAATGTCACCAAAACCTCAACTCTGTAAGGTTAAAAAGGATGCAGAGCTCTACCTTAGATCAAAACAAGAACACAGCAGCTTGCATATATTGGACAATCACCACTTAAAAAGATGGTGTCCAGAAAAGGAAATACCTATCCAAAAAGGCAATGGGTTGCACCATGTATTTAATTGATTGCAGACATTCCCAGAGTATTGCCAGTGTGGGCAAAAGATGACAAGTACGCATTTAGCTCAGATGAACTCCACATAGCAGCCACAAATAATGCTCTGCAAAATATGAAGACTGTTGACCTGAAAGTATATATGACAGCTATTATTTCAAAGCTGCACACCAACACATACACTACTCTTCACAGAAACTCTATTAAAAGATTTTAAAGAAAAGACTCAAAAATAGAAGATAAACAGATTAAGAGTGTTATTTACACATCAGCTAAAGAAATATTTGAGGTACAACCACAGTTGAACAGTAACAAGGGTAAGAATGCTACTTCTTGAGTTAGAAGGATGCCATTGCTTTTATCTTACCCAGAGGTATCATGCTGAAGTGATAGAAGCAAAAATAAATAAGGATATCTTTAGAATATCTCCAAATGGGGTGCTTTTTCTCCTGCCGGACTACTACAGAGCTGACAGTGCACTCCCACTTCTAGAGCAGTGCTGCATTCATGGCCCTGCTCCACTTTGAGACTGTCACATCAGAAAGATGCATGTGGCACTATCAAAACAAATTATTTGCTGCTTCTTGATGTCACTATCCATGTGTCTGAGGAGACATAAAAGTTCAGGTGTCAATAACATCACAGACTAACTGGACGTCACTGTTGAGGTAGTTTAGCAGACAGGTTGGAAGTTCCACATGTTACATAAGCATTGCTCACTTGTCATTCACCAGCTACCCTGGGGAATAACTACATGACTTCTGGGTGGTGCAAAGACACGTGCTTGGCACCACCTGCACAGTACCTAGAGCATGGGGAAAACAGGAAATGAAACAGTCTTTGTCAAGATCCTTGCTGCAGAGTGGCGACTAAACAGCATGGAGAGCTTGAACTCATACAATTAGCTGTTTCTATTTTTCTGCAATGCCCCAGTCAGTATTTTCCTGTGGTCAGAGTTGGGATTTTAGAAGCCAGATCTCTTATGCAATAAAGCACCACAGTGACTAAAGTTCCTCTGGCAGACTTGGACAGTAAAACTGACTGGAAGAAGTCCACCTTTTTCTTTTTGTCTCCAGTATGAAATACTTCTGAGAAAATATACTGGAAATTTTGTGTCTTCGTCAACAACTGGAAAGTAGAAGGCCGATTTTCTTTTTTCAGTTATAAGTTTTGGTTTTCCACTCTTTTGAAAAAGACAGTTCTTTTTGGCTACAAAAGAAATTGCAGGAGAAATCATTAGCAGAGTTTTCCACCTAGCTCAAATGTCATTCTTCAAGCAACTTTATTCAGCTTTCTTCTGATGGTGTTGTTAAACTTGGCAATTTGTAAAATTTGGTAGCTATTATCATTTGTGATAGGAATTACCCTGAGACATTGTATTTGTCCAACGATCAATTTCCTCTTTTAATTTGGATTGAGGTACAAGTTGCAGCCTGGTGTTGACTCAGACTCCAGCTGGCTCTGAACTTTTTGCAGTTGATTACAATGATTGCAGTTCTTTGGCTGGTTCTTCCAGGGTAGCTTCCCTGCTTTAAAGAGAGTGGCAGTGGTTGGTTTGAACAGAGTAGATAGCTGAGTGGATATTTGATAAGAATTTCATCTAATGTAACAGAACTGATCAATGGCATTTTCCTTTTAAAGAAACAGTCTCTAGAAGGTGCTGTTCATCAGACACGGCTGATATAATGCTCTCGATGGCACAAAGGGATTTAAGAAATGGCTGGAAAGAGCATGCATGTGCATGGGATAGCTCTCAGTTACATCCAAGCACACCCGCTCTATTCATAGCCACAGAAATAGAAAAGCCACCTCCAGGGCTTAATATCACATCACTACCAAATGTGCAAGATAGGACATGTTGAGCTTGTTGGACTGTGTGTTATCCAGGAGCTTAAAGAACCTGTCTTCTGTCAGCCAGTCTTGCTGCTGCTTTGTTTCCAAATCAATGTGAAGATGTTTTGATGAGTAAAAGACAAATGATTTGTGATGTACTTGTTTGAGAAAGCCTCTCTCAGTTAGCAATAAACTCATTGCAACTGCATCATAAAGGAGATAAAGTCACATCATTATAAGAAGGAAGAGGTATCTGTCAGGTCGCTCACATTTGGGACCCCAGATTTTTCTAAGTCTTTTCTTCTCTAGGTTGGTAATAGCCTCATATCTTTAGCTTTCCCTCTGAAGTCCCACCTAATTTTACTTCCAAGAGGAGAAAGGTATGGTATGGTCTATGCTGGCACTGAGGAAGGTGAGGAGAGTGGTGAGCACCAAATACAGGGGCCACTGTACCAAGACATTGATTTTTGTCTTCAGAAGTGTGAATAAAACCAATTATTGTATATTGCTAGCCATTTTTTTCTGTATAAAACAGGTCATATGTGACTCTAAAAGGCAAAGATTTGGACATTATAATTTAGTAGCGTGACTGAATATTGTGATCAGGTATTTAATCACAAAGGGCTAGCTGCATACCTCATTGACGAGAAAAACATTGTCTGTGTGCTTTTTGGCGTGTGCCACATATTGCAAAGCATATATTATCCTGTAAATATTAATGGTAAGTATTTTAAGATCAGTAGTTTCCTTCTTTTCAGATCTGCTCAGACGTGATGCTTACATTTCTGCCTTACTGGATTTGTTCTTTTGGGACCATTTAGTCAATCCTGTCTTGCTAGATTAGGAACCTCTTGAACAAATATAGTTCACTTTTTTCATTTTGATATACCCTCTAATAAGTCATTAATTGTCCAATGAGCCCCACAGACAATTAATAGTTTCTGTGCATAATACATCAAACTGACTAGATATGAAACTTTTAACTGGATCAGAGTATAAAGTTGAAAGGATACACACAGGAATGTGGTGTTCTGTTTTCTGCATCCAGCTTTTCCACTGACTTGAAGAAACTGTGAGGGTTGCGACCCTAAAGACCAGTTGTAGCAGAGGGCTGGAAAGCATGGCCCTCCAGAATGGACAACCCGAGGACCTGGCCACAATATGCTAATAAGATGAATGTAAGAGTGAAATGTGAACAGTTTTGTGGACATATGTGGTTTATTTTGTACTTTATGGAGTTTTTTTATACCCCTTGGTTTCAAGAAGTCGGACAATTACAACCTTGCATTCAAAGAGATAAAGGAAATCTCTTTTGGTTACATGGGGTTAGGAAGTAGTATAAGAGCTGAGAAACAGTATCTGTTCACGTGTAATGGCCCTGCAGTCCAGGATTTGTGCCAACAGCGAACAAGCCAGCTGCCCGGATGCATGCCATGCTTCCCAAAGAGCATGCCCAAACCACAAGTTAGGGTGCTGTAGGCCATGCATAAACATTTCATGGAGTGGGAGCAGAAAGGGGCATGCCTCCAGTACAAGTTTACTGCCTGAAGCAAGTCCCTAGCAAGCTCTGCTCCTCTCTTTTTTCCTTTTCAACCCCATAAATCTTAAGATATTCAGCACAGGGTATCCTGGGTTTGATAAGAGGACAGTGTTCCTACCCAAATGAACTGACAGGGTGCTTTCGCATGGAGACAATGCTGGGGCTTTGGCTTTCTTACTCCAGGTAAGGAGCTGTATTCAGAGCTCCTCCTTCCTCCATGAACTCTCCAAACATCAGCAGTCAGTGCATTAGAGACAGGCAGAGGAGCCATGACATTCTGACTATTTTGAGGCCAGGCCCAACTTGGGAGCACTTTGCCACCACATCAAATTTGTCAGGGATGTGGAAAAGAGAAGCTGTAACCTTAGGTCTCTGCTTGGACCAGAGGGAAGCACTGTGGCAAAAGCAGCAAGCTCAGAGGGGCTGTCTGAGGTGCCTTGAGCACATCTAAGCAAAAACCCAGTTTAGGGATTCACAGCATTAGATAGCATTTGAGCAGGAATGCTTAGGACCTTGCTTTTCAGACATTCTTGCAATACCTAGGTCCCTTCCTGAATTCAGATCTTAATCGTGGTTACTCAGTTTTGCCATCTGTTGGCATGGAATAGTAATTCCTTTATATATAGGCTCTATATGAAAAGGTCTATGGAGTTTAATTTATAATCTTTCAACAAAGTAGTTACAAATATGTTGCCCTTCCTTTTATGAGCCAATATTTCAATTAACATTTGCCTAATTCTTTTTTTTTTACTTGTTTTCTTGTAATGGTTGGACTTGATGATCTTAAAGGTCTTTTCTAGTTGATTCTGTGATTCTATGACTCTACTTTTATCAACAGCTACTTGGTTGTCACAAACAAAAGGTTTGATTGTTTTTCCCCTCCATCCGGTTCCACTGAACATATACTGCTTTGCTTCCACCAAAATATGTAAATGTAATTCACACTAAGACCAGAGAACACAGTAAAGAATAAAGCACAATATTAAAAAAACACCATTCATTCAGAGATGAATAAGTAATTAATTGCTTTCCAGTTCTGAATGTCACAAAATTCCGGAATCATAGAACATCCCCACCATCTATGGTTGAGCAACCTTAATTCTTTCTTTTTTGTTTGTTTTAGATTTTTAACTAGAGTATTGTAGAGTGATTCAAGTGATTCTACAGACATTTATATATAGAAATGACATTACACACATGTAATCATGTTTAGTTCAAACAGAACTAGTGAATTCATAATGTTACCCTAGTGCATATTTAGAAGGAGTATGTTTTCACTTTTATATGGAACATGTGTTGTCCTTTGTTAAAAGAAGAATATATGCATTCCTACATATTTGAAAAGAGATAAGGGAAAATATGCAATCTGAAAGCAAAATCCCTGCTTGTCCTTCAGTTTACTAAAATAACGTTTGTATAATACATGTTAAACAAAAAAGCCAAACCATGTTATCTTACAGTTGGCTATTTTCCTAATGCAGCACAGTTTTCCTCCTCTGCCTATAATTCTGAATTTGACAACCTGAAAAACACATCTTCAAAATTAGAATATCTTGTCTTTGAAATAAATATTTTCTTTGTGTATTAAAGGATAAATGTGCCTCCAATACAGAAGGTGTGATAACTAGGATTACTGCTAACTTCTTTTGTTGGCTGCCATCCCACCAAATGAGTCATATTTAGTCTAGATTTTGACCTTATTACATGCCTGGGGTCAGTATCCTGGAGATTCAGTGGTTACTAATGGTTACTTTGCCGGAGAAATGAAGGAGGAGGTAAGACAGAAAAAAAGCATACACGTAAGGTGTATTTTTCTAAGTCCTGCTGCAAGGGGGAAAGCTGAATACATTCGCCGCACCAAAATATCCATCTTTTCTGGGCTGAAAAATTTGTAGGTTTTTATGGTCTCAAAAAAGCAGAGTGATGGTAACCCCCTTTTTTGAGAAGTCTTAAAAAAATTGTGATAGAAATGCAGGGAAAAAAAAGCAAAGATCTTATTTAGATCTAGCACCTGTGAAATAGCAGGCTGGGAGCAATATACCGCAGGTGCTCCCCACTTCAGTCCCACAACATCCAGCTGTATAACCCGTGCTGTAAACAAGAGCATTAAAGAATGCAGCCACTATTAAGACAGATTGTAGATACAGCTACATTCAACAATTAGGCTAATCATTTAAGATTAATTTTTCTGTAGTTCATGTAATTGTCTCTTTCCCAAAAGTCTGCTCATGTATCTGTCTGGAGCTCAGATCATATTGTCATTTTGTGTCACTCTTGTTTGATCTAATACCCAAAATTTTATTCATGGTTAAAGGCCTAAGTGAAATGGCCACTTAACCAAATGCCTGCATTTCAGCAGCTTTACCAAATGACCAGTTTGACAGAATGACTGTTATAGGAATTAGAGCTAGTACAGCTCACTTATTAATCATTGCTCAGTGACCTTTAACAGCAGCCAAATTGTATCTGAGTGTAGTTAAGGTGTCCCAGAGTTTGTGTGTCTCAGGAGGAGGTGATGGACTGGAAATCAAGGAGGGAGGAGAGAGCGTTATTCTTTTTTGGGGGGAGGACACTGTCCCCATTGAAATCAATTACAAAAATACCACGACTCCAAAGGTGCGTGGACCAGATCACTGAATCTTTAATGTTGCCATGCAATTAAATCCTGGGTCTTGCTATTTGAAAAGAATATATATTTCTCTAACTAGGGCACTGAAATGAATAATCCCTGTTACTGAAAGAAAGTTATGTGGGAGTAAAATAGTCCTTGGGACTGGAACTCAGTTGCCAGCTTAGCTCTCTGCTGCACGGTTTTGCAGCTAATCAGGGCACACAG